TTTGCCGCCGGCCCCCTGGCCCCGCCCTGACTGCTCGCCATTGGACGGCCCGCCGCCCTCGTCGCGGCGGATTGGCTTCCCCTCCGGCTCGCCCCTCGCACTTCCGGGCCCTCGCGCCCGTGTCCCCTTCTCCGGGAAAGACGCGCCGTGGGCCGCTCCCATTGGCTGCTTCTTGCTGGGTCTCCTGCCGGCAGCGGCCAATGAGCAACGGGAGGGGCGGGGCCTGGGCTGTGGGCGGGAGTAGCGGCGCGGAAGCTGGGGCGCGGGAAGCGGAAGTGGTTCGGGGTACGCTGCGTGGAGGGCCCAGACACTCTCCGTTGCGCTGGCCTGGAGTTGCCGTTCTTCCCTCCGGCTCCTGGACCCGGGGCCACGCTCGCGTGCCTGTTCCGAGGTGCACGACGCGTGGTTTCCAGCGCTCCCCCCGGTTCTGAGTCTCCACCCCGCTCCCCCGGATCTGCCGCGCTGGCTCTTTTTGGCTTCCCAGGGAAGTGGGAAATTTCTCCTTGAAGAAGAGAGCGGAACTCTCCACTCTGATCCACAAATTCTGAAACTAAGCATCTAGGGACGTGCCTCACAAACGCTGAGCATTAGACTGTTAGCAGTTCACATGCTAGGCCCAAATTCAGACTTTCCCTGGTGCTCTCACTGTGACCTTGGGCAAGTTACTCTCAGCCTCAATTTCCCCGCCTGTACATGGAGACAAACAGCTGCCTCGCTTGTGCCCTCGAGTTCAGGGTTTGCAGAAGGTTTGATGCCGTGACACGTGCTCCCTTTGGAGTCCCAGGTGGTGGTTGTGGGTGTCACTGTTGGCGCCACATAGCCCTGGGTTCAAACCCCAGCTCTGCCACTTGCGAACTGAATTACATTCAGCAATTGACTTCATCTCGCTGATCCCGTTTGTCTTTCTAAAGTAGACAGGAACTAAGCCGGGCATAGTGGCTCATGCCTGTAGTCCCAGCACTTTGGGAGGCTGAGGCCAGAGGATTTCCTGAGCTCAGGAGTTAGAGATTAGCCTGGGAAACATAGTGAGACTTTATCTCTACAAAAATAAAATATAAAAATAAAAAAATAGCCGAGCCTGCGGCTCCTACCTGTAGTCCCAGCTACCCAGGAGGCTGAGGTGGAAGGATCGCCTGAGCCCAAGAGGTCAAGGTTGTAGTGAGCCATGATGGTGCCACTGCACTCCAGTCTGTGTGACAGAGTGAAACACCGACTTAAAATAAATAAATAAATAAAATATAAAAGTAAACTGGGGGTAATATGATGGTAGTATGCTTCACAGGGTTTTGTGTGATGGTGAAGTTCGCTCCTATATGTCTGGCACAGAGCAAATGCTTGATAAGTATAGGCTGTTGCCATTATTTCTAGAAGACACCAAGTCATTGCCACTTTTTTATCCACGGAAGACAGTGCCAGGGCTGAAGTTTGCTCCAACCATGAGAGAGAGACCCCGTTTCCCCTTGTGTAGGTCTAATTCTGATCGCAGTTTAGGGAAGCCATTGTTCCACAGTGTCCAGGCCCAGGCCAGAGTTGGGAGTGATGACCAGAGGGTGCCGTCATGAAAGACACCATGGGGGACATTGTAAGGCCAGAGACCAGGCAGCTTCAGCATGTGCCTGTTGGCCTCCCTGTTTATTTCTTGTAACTGTCCCCCACCTTCCAACTCCCAGCCCTCAGCATGGAGTGTGGCACTCAGTAGATGTTTAAGAAATTTTATTGAATATGAAACACTTGAAGCAGCACAAATCATAGTTTTAGAAAAACAAAATCAGGATGGTGGTTATTTTGGTGGTTTCTTGTTTTTAATCTCTTAAACCAGCTTATGGAATACAGCAGGTATGATAGAAATTAGTGAGACTCTGGGGTCAGATGTGTGGTCAAATGCAAGGCCTGTCATTTACTGACTGGGACCTGAGTATCATGGGGCTTGTGTACCTCTGTCTACTCCCAGACATGAAGTGTTATGACCATCTGCTTTTAAAGGCACCCTCTCCTCTCCACCTTCTTGGGAAGCTAGTGTAAGCTCTTTAATGAGCATAAGCCATGGGTAGCAAATCCAGAAGCTGTGCAAGGACTGCTAGTGAGAAAAACTGTCTAGACATGAGACAACAGGGAGAGGTGGGGAGTGTGGCAAATTTGAGAGCACATGCCTTGTCCAAAGTGGGCAGCAGCTTCTCAGCTCTAATCCACATTTATTAGCTGAGATGCGGTCTAAAATTTAACAGATTTTCCAATTTTTCTTTTTGTTTGTTTGTTTGTTTGAGTTGGAGTCTCACTCCATTGTCCAGGCTGGAGTGTAGTGGCACACTCGTGGCCACCACAGTGTCGACCTGTTGGGCTCCGGCAATCCTTCCACCTCAGCCTTCCAAGTAGCCGGAACTACAGGTGCTACCACGCCCGGCTAATTTTTTTTTTTTTTTTTATTGTAGAGACGAGGGCTCGCCAAGGTGCCCAGGCTGGTCTCGAACCCACAGGCTCAGGGAATCTACTCACCTCAGCCTCCCAAAGTGCTGGGATGACAAGCTGAGCCACCAAGCCCGGCCAGACTTTCTGATTTTTCAAAAGAAATATGAGGCCTAGATTTTTAAGCAGTATCTCCAGATTTTTAAACAGTTGGCATGTCTGCCTGACGGCTACCGAGGACTACCAGACTGTAGTCCCTATTTTAGGCTTTTAGATGGGCAAGGGAAGGTAGCAGGGAGCCAGCGCAGAAGGAACCAGCACAAACGACTCACAGCAAATGAGCCCACCATGGTGAGTGAACGCCAGGGGGCAGTGTGTCACCTGACATGACTTCCCTCATTCGGCCTCTTGGTCAGGAGCTTGCACTCAATTTTCTTTCTCGACTTTGTCTGCCTTCAGCTGTGTTGAATGCACAACCTATAGTCCCTGAAGCGATGTTGAAAAGTTGGCTTTCCCCATCTTAAGCATTCTGTATTAGGTGGAAATTGCCTCCCCATGGCCCGCGGAGGAATTTTCTAAAAGCTCACCTTGACACTTGACAAATAACCCGAAAAGTGGCTGCGTGGGAAATGTGTCCATTATGCAAAGCAAAACGAAGCAAAACAAAACAAAAAACCTTCTGCATCTTTAGGGAACAGCAGTCAAGTGCTTCTTGCTGGCGGAGTCGGAT